TGAACCCCTTCAAGGGCATTTCAGAGGGCGAGCAATTTCTCGCACCCGCAGTCCTCTCGCAATCAACTCACAGTCGAAGCTCCACGCGCCATGCGGAGGACGGATAGATTTGCGCCGATCCTCAAAGTCCGCCAGGATCCGAACTTGGCGGATTTGCCTGCAGCGAGTAACAGGTTTTCGCGCGGCTGCAGGTATTGGAACGGGTGGATGGCGTTTGCACAGAAGCAGGCGATGCTCGGCCGCACCGCATTTCGGGGCGTCGATGAACGAAGATCCACGGCACACCGGAAATGCACCCGGCCAGTGACACTGTCGTCAACCCCAATAAACCTCTTTCAAGGCAATTCACAAGGCGAGAACTTTTTCGCACTACCAGGCCGCCGGCATTGAAGACGGACTGGGCAGTCCGAGCTGTTGAAAATAACGGTCAGATTTACGGGGAGCCTCTAAGTTCGTCGGGATCCGAATTTGGCTGGTGTAGGAGTAGCAAGGAACCTGTTTTCGCGCGGCTTGTGTCAGTGGAAGGTAGCGCCAATGGATACACACAAGGAACATTATGTTTGGGCAAACAGAAGGAAGGCTCTGTTGTCGGTGAACGATAGCACGCGCAGAACAAAGGGTAGTGGTGGATGCACTACTACACAATTCGGTGCAGCGCGACCCCAAACTGACCCCCATAAACTCGATTCTCACCATCGTCTAGGCGAGCTCGTGCAATTTTCCATTCACAGGTACTAGCGCAAGAGCTTATCGAACTCGGACATCCCACTGCGTAGACAAGAAAAATGTAGAAAAGGATGAAAGATCCCCCCTTCAACCCTTCCGAACATTGATTCGGCCAGTCGAGAAGGCGACCCCCGATTCTGCGACAAGACTCCGCACACCGCGACGGTCAAAAACCTTGGGGGGCAACAAAGATCGTGGGCGCGAAAAATTGCTCGCCTTCATAAATCCCCTCGAAGGGGTTAATGTGGGTTGCCGGCGGTGATAACGGTCGTGTCCCTTATTTTCGGCAACCCCCATGAACCCCTTGAAGGGCATTTCAAAGGGAGCAATTTCTCGCACCCACAGTCCTGTCGCAATCAACTCACACTCGAAGCTCCAAGCGCCACGCAAAGGACGGATAGATTCGCGTCGATCCTCGAAGTCCGCCAGGATCCGAACTTGGTGGATTCGCCTGCATTTGTAACGGGTGGATGACGTTTGCATAGAAGCAGGCGTTGCTCGGGCGCACCTCATTTTGGGGTGCCGATGAACGAAGATCCACGGCACACCGGAAATGGACCCGGCCAGCGACACCGTCGTCAACCCCAATAAACCCCTGTCAGGGCAACTTACAAGGCGAGCAATTTTGCGCAATACCATGCCGCCGGCATTGAAGACGGACGGAGAAGTCCAAGCCGTTGAAAACAACGGTCAGATTCATGCGGCGCCTCAAAGTCCTCCGGGATCCGATTTTGGCCGGTGCTGGAGTAGCAAGGAACCTGTTTTTGCGCGGCCGGTGCCAGTGGAACGGAGCGCCAGCGGGTGCACACAAGGAACGCTATGCTTGGCCGCACAAAAGGAAGGCTCTGCCGCTCTCGAGCTGTCGTTGAATGTCAGCACGCGCAGAGCAAAGGGCAACGGTGGATGCACCGCCAGAAAATCGGGCGCAACGCGATCCCAAACTGACCCCTAGTGCAAGAGTTCATCGAGATCGGACATCCCAACCGCGCAGACAAGAAAAATGTAGAAATTGATGAAAGACCCCCCCTGCAACCCTTCCAAACCCCGTTTCGGCCAGTCGACAAGGCGACCCCCGATTCGCACGCCGGTAACGTCGACGTGCGAAAGCGCGAACCGGAAACCATGCAGAAACACGAGCATGTGTGCGACAAGAATCCGCGCACCGGGACGGTCAAAACCCTCTGGGGGCAACAAAGATCGACGGCACACAGACAAGGGACACGACCGCTATCACCGTCGGCAACCCCCACAAACCCCTCGAAGGGCATCTCAGAAGGTGAGCAATTTTTCGCACCCACAATCCTCGCGCAATCAACTCACACTTGAAGCTCTAGGCCTCATGCGAGCACTTTTGCATGCCCGGAGGCCTCTGGTAATCAGAACGCACTCGACAGTCGTGGCCATCGAAAACGGCGGTTAAATTTACGCGGGACCTCAAAGTCCGCCGGGATCCGAACTTGGCGCTTGCTGGACTGGCCAGGAACCGGTTTGCGCGGGGGACGACGGATATTTGGATGACCGGTGTGGAATTGCACAGAAGGAACGCTAGGCTTGGCTGCAT